CTCTGATGGAATCCTATTACAGATGGATCCACATCTACTAGAATCCTGGTACAGATGGATCCATCTCTAATGGAATCCGACTACAGCTGGATCCACAATTGATGGAATCCTATGAGAGATGGGCCCATCTCAACTGAAAGTCTATTACAGATCGATCCGCTACAAATGGAATCCTAGAAGAGATGGGTACACCTTTTAAATAGAATCCTGCTACACATGGATTCACCTCTAACAGAATCCCATTACAGATGGATCCACCTCTAATTGAATATTATTAGAGATGGGTCCACCTATAATGGGATCCGATTAGACATGGATTCACCTGTAAAGGAATCCTATATGAGATGGGTCCACCTCTAGTGGGGTCCTATTAGCGATGGATCCACCTCTAAGATCATTCCATTCCAGATATTTCCACCTCTAATGGAATCCGATGAGAGATGGATCCACCTCTCATAGAATCCTAGTAGCGATTGACCCACCATTTACACCCCCTCCCTACAGAAGGTTTTCTTTTGTGGCGGATTGTTTCAAATTGATTCCTTTTGTGGCGGATTTGAAATGGATTTCTTTTGTGGCGGATTACAAATTGATTACAAGGATGATGATGCTGGTGATGGCGATGCAACGCAGCAGAACGAGGTGGTACGCACACACGGTTTTATCAACTCCACCCCCTGAGCCCCCCCGTACATAAATTCGGCCCTGGGCGCTCCCACAGACGTCAAATTCGATTTTTCGGTTTCGGGGGCCTCTCCCGGCCATCCCCGGAATGTCGTCCCGCAAAGCCCCGAGGCGACCCCAAACCGCTCCAGAACGGGTCACGAGCGCTCGAAAAGGCTTCAAGGTGGCTTCAAGAGGGCCCAAGATGCTCTCAAGACGCCCCAAGAGGCCCCCCCAAAAGGCCCCCAAGAGGTCAAAATCGTTTCGTTCCTTCAGGAAGTTATACTTTTTTAGCATATCCGTTTCTTTAGCCTTCGCCGCGTCCAAAACGGCCCAGGAGGCCCCCCAAATCGCCCCAGGACGGCGCAAGAAGTCCCCAAGGGAACCCCAAAACAGCCCCAAAGGGTGCCACAACGACCCAAGAAACCCCAAGACGGCCCCAAAGAGCGCCAGAAGGCTTCCCAGAGAGCCCCAAGAAGGCCGCAGGAGGCCCCCAAGAAGAACCAAGAGGGCCCCAAGACTTCCCAAGCCCCCCAGGACGGCTCAAGAGGGTCCCAGGACGGCCCAGGAGGGCCGCCAGACAGCCCAAAAGAGCTTCAAAAGGAGCCCCGCGAGAGCCCCGAGAGGCCATACCCTTCTCAGTCATATGAGGCCTGTCGGCCCCACAAGCCCTACGACCACTATGGTACCTCATGGTGCCCCCTGAACCCTGAGGGGCCTGGGAACCCTAACGTCACCCCCGCGCGCCGCGAGACATCGAAGGGCCCCCCCAACTCATAATCCAGATCACGGGCGTGCCGCCATGGACGGAGCGGCGGCATGCACACGTTGGCTCTTCACCGTCGGTGGAGCGGTGAGGCGGCATGCACACGCTGGCTAGTCACCGTCGGCGGAGCTCCTTGTGGGGTGCGGCCCACGAGAGGGGACATTCGGCACACGTGTGGTGACGCAGCGTCCTTGAGGGTCCTCGCAGGAAGACGGATCACAAGGGCCCCATGAGGGCCACGAGGCGGCCGAAGGTGCCCCACTGCGAATCATCCATTCAGAGCCGCAGGTGGAGCCCGCTCTCATGGGGGAGAGGCACACAAGGAGAGGAGAAGGAGCAAGGAAGGAGGTCGAAGGAAGGAGGAGGAGGGAAACAGGAAGAGACTGGACGAGAAGGAGGAAAATCCACCATCCAAACCCGACGATACAATTCTCGACGTTTCTGCCTCCGGGGGCCCTTTTCGGACCACCCGTCCAAAGTCGATCTGGCATCGGGAACCGGTTCTGAGCCGATGTTGGTCGTCCACGGCAGCAGCCGACGAACAACAGTCATTCATTCTAGCGAGCTCGTTGCGACTAGTTCTTGCGCCGCAGCACCATCTCCCTTCATCCCCATCGACGACGCCTCTGGCCTTCCCTCCCTATGTTTTTTCGTGACCTCTCCTGCCCTTTGTGCCCCTCGCTGCCTTCTTCGCTCCTTCTCTCCACTTCCCACTCCTGCAACCCAACCTTTTTTCCTGTCTCCATTTTGGCCCCGGGCGCCTTCGGCCCCCGCTTGACAGCGCTTCCTGTCTCCGCCACCCCACGGCGGAAAAGCGGAAGCACTGGGCCACCGGTCCTACCCAGGATGTTCCCTTCGACGATTCCATCTTCACGGCGTCTTGTGCTGGCCTTCCGCGCTGCGCGGGGAACTCGGCCTGTCCCTTCGCGGCCACCGCGCCGCCCTCTTCGCTCGATTGGTCCCGAGGTGGGCGCCCTCGGCTGCCGAGGGGGCCCTCTTGGGTCCGTCTTTCGCCTTAACTGAGATCCACCGCCTGCGGGTGGAGGTCGCCCAGCTACAAGCGATGCTCGACGCCGACGCCGACGAAGACAGAGCTCCTCTGGCAGCCCCTGCCGCCGGTGACCCTGCGGCGCCCCCGCCGGATCCGGCACCGAGCGCTGCGCATGTGGAAGACCACAACGCCGACGGCCTCTCGAGCGAACGCGTTTCCTGGCAGCCCCCTGCCGCGTTTGTGGACTTCGCCGCATCTCTCTCCGCGGGCGCCGCGCTCCCCGCCCCCGCGCGGTCGCGCATCTCCGAGCGGGCAGACGTCGGGGCACTTCGTTGCGCAGAGACGCTTCTGAGCTCCGCACTGGAGCGCGACGCCGACATTTTCGGATGGATTATGCTCAGGCACGTGGCGCCTCGGCGCCGCGTGGTGTTCGCCTTCGCGAAATTGGCCCCCTCCCGCGCCGCCGCCTTTCTCGATGCAGAACGCCGCGGGCGCGTTTCACCGCTTGAGCAACGCTGCCGAGCGAGAGCCAGGCACCACGTCGCATCCGACTGCTCCACCGCTGCATGTAGCACACGGGTGCCGAACAAAAACATCCGTCGCGCCTTTTTGCTCGCGCCGGCGACTTCGCCCAATCACTCGCGCGAGCCGACGAGGCCGAAGCCGCATGAGCCCCATGAGCCCTATGAGCCCGCCATATGAGCCCTATGAGCTGTATGAGCCCTATGACCCTTATGAGCCCATGATCCCTATGAGCCTTATGAGCCCCACGAGCCCTATCAGCCCTATGAGCCTCATGAGCTTCATGACCCCATGGTGCCCGATGACACTTATGAGTCCATGGGCCCTGTGAGCCCTATGGGCCTCGTGAGCCGTATGAGCCCTATGAGCCCCATGAGCCTTCATCAGCCCCATGAGCACTATGAGCCCTACGAGCCCGATGAGGCCTATGAGCCCGAGAAGCCCCATGAGCCCTATGAGCCCTTAAGCCCCCTGAGCCCTATGAGCCCCATTGGCCCCAGGGGCCCCATGGGCCCCATGGGCCCTATGAGCCCTATGAGCCCTATGAACCCTATGAGCTTTATGAGCCTTACGGACTCGATGGGGCCTATGAACCCTATGAGCCCATTGAGCCCTTGAAGCCCTACGAACCTATGAGCCCTGTGAGCCCCATGGGCCCCATGAGCTCTGTAAGCTTTATGGGCCCCATGAGCCCTGTGACCCCCGCGAACCCGTTTACTGCAATGAGCCCCAGGAGCCCGATGAGCCTTAAGATCCTTACGAGCCCATGAGCTCTCCGAGCTCCATGAGCCTGATGAGCCCTTTGAGGCCTATCAGCACTAGAAGCCCCATGAGCTTTATGATCTCACGAGCCCCAGGAGCCCCGTGAACTCAATTGGCCGCGCCCCATGCCCCCCCGACCCCCCATGTCACCATATGTGCGCGAAGACTTCCTATGAGGCCTATGCGCACTAGGAGCCCTAGAACCCCCTCAGCACTAGGGGCCGCGAAGCCTTGCGAGACCAATGAGGCCCCCTCTGAGCCTTACGAGCCCAGTGAGCCGTATACGGCCCATTGACCCTATGTGCCCTATGGCCCCGACTTGCCCCTTCGCCCCAATCGGCCCCATGAGCCCTGCGAGGCCTACGCGCGCTGTTAGCGCTATGGGCCCTATGGCCCCCAGGAGCATTGCGAGCTCTATGAGCCGAAAGGCGCCCAAGAGCTGATGACTCCAAGGAGCCCCAGGACCCTTATCAGCACCATGAGCCTCCTATGACCCCCATGACCCTTGTAAAAGCGACTCAGCATTATGAGCCCCGTGCCCGATGTGCACAAACAGTCCCATGACCCCAACGAGCCCAATGATCCCTGTGAGCCCTCTGAATCGCATGACCCCCTGGAGCCGCACCGGCAGCATTAACCCTCGACTAAAATGGGGGCTCCGAGCCCTTGGGCCCCATGGCGGCTGAGACCCCTTCTGAGCTCTTTGAGCCGCAACATTCCTTGTGTCCTATCAGCCCTGTTTGCTCCATGGTCTCCATGGCCAGAACGCGCCGCTGCTGTGACGACAACCGATCTCATCGCGCCGCCCTGGCGCCATGCGACCAATACTTTAAAGGCGAAGCGCAGCGAGGCGGTAAAATCTTGTGTGTACATATTTTTGTCTGTGACTTGTGTTTTCCAGAGAGGCGAGGAGCGTCCCGATTGAATGCATGCCTCGCCCGTGGCATACTTGCTCAAGCGCATATGGACCTGCTTCAGCTCGGCGGGGTCCTTCGAGAGCTCTCTCACCTTTCCCTGCATCTCAGCAGCAGCCTGCAATCTTGCCCTCCGTGCCCGTCGCTGGTCTGCCCGCACGTGGAGTGCGGCTCGTTGTCGTGCGGCTCGCCTGGACAGGCGGCAGTGCCTTGCGAGGCTCGGGCTCCCGAGCCAACGGCCGCAGGGCCTGTCTGGCCGCTGCTGGTGGTCTTCGCGGCGGGCGTGGCCGTCGGGCTGGCCGTCTCGCCTCGCCTACGACGTGCTCCAGGCGGAGCAGCATCGGCGTCCTCGGCGGCGCCACGGGCCGCCACGGCCCCAGAGGCGGCCACTGCGACGGCAGCGCCGACCACTTTGGCGCTGACGACAGGACCATCGACGGGGCCAGTGACACCTTCGTCAAGGCATGGCTGCAGTGCCACGGTGCCCGGACATTCCTGAGTTCCAAGTCGCCGTTCGCTTCGATGATGATCCTAATTTTACTTGGCATCATCGTATCTTGTTGCGACGTGTGCGAGACGCTGTGTGGATCACGCTCACTCCAGATCTCGATCTCGAGAGGATCAATCTGGACGAGCGTCGGCATCGGGTGCTCGAGCGAGGACAGGCTTTTCCAGATGCCATCGTTGGGGACCTCTACGCCTTCGACCCGATCGGACGCGAGGCGGTCGCCGGGCACAAGAGACGTGCTCGACTTCAGGCGGCCGTGCTCGGCGGGGACGAGGACGAGGCCATGGACGCTGAGGAATGGGTCTACGCTGACCTCGAGGACCCAGCGTTCGGGACGCTCGTCGCCGCCGATGTCCTCGAGGGGGACGAGTTCGTGGAGCTGGGCAACCGCGGCCTGGTGCGCCGTGAAGGTACAGCTCGAGGGGTCGAGAAGGTTGGACGTGCTCGACTGGGCGAGTGGGCTGAGCAGCGTCGTGTCGGCGCTGAGGACATCAGGAGTCTGGGCGTGCACACAGCAGCGGACGGCACACGTCACCTCGGGTGGCCAGACGCCGTCGGCATGCTGCGCGAGAGTGACATGCCGGAGTGGAAGTTCGAGGGGCCACGAGTGTGCAAAGAACTGGCCGCCTCGATTCGAGAAGGAGCAGGAAACCCGACTTCGTACCACGCCGAGTGGATCAGGCTGTCGGGGGTCAACCAGAATAGCGCCATCGCCTATGAGCACAAGAACGCCATGGAGATGTTGCGTGTGGCCACCAGTACCGACCAGGTCGACATCAGCAACCTGGCCTCGTTCGAGCTTCTCGCGAGGCGGGTCGTCATGCTGGAGATGGCGGTGGCGCGAGACCCCCGGGATCCCGACTTCAGTGGGCTCGGAGTCATTGCTGACGGCGCTGTGGGGACCGACGGGGCTGCACGAGCGCCGAGGTTCCGCACCTGGGTGTCGGACCGTCAGAAGGAGAGGGCGAACATCCTCAAGCAGTCGAGGTTGTACAAGGAGGAGACCAGGAACGAGCGGGACAGGAGGCGCGGCCCGAAGGGGCCAAAGGGCGGTGATGCAAAAGGCAAAGGCAGGGGGGCTGGCGGCCAAGGAGCCGAGGCCCCTCTGCCGGGCTAGATGGCGCCCGACAGCCCGCGGGTCACCAAAGCCGACTGGTGGCCTGGCGGGGAGTGGAGGCACGGAGGACCCTTTCCTCTTCCTGTGCCCGAAGTTCGGCAGTACCCACGTGGAGCCCCTCACTATGTGCAGCAGAGGTGGTGGCGCTCCACGACGCGGCAAAGGCTTGTTAGAGATACAGTACTCGGTGTCAACCAACTGGCGGCCGCTCAAGCTAACAATTCGCACTTTCGACGATCTCCGCTGGCGAGCTCAGCTCCTGCAGCAGTCCAGCGGGAGATGTTGGCGAGTCTCGAGGATCGGGTGGGGCGTGCAGGCCTGGTCCCCGAAGGCCTCGCTCCAAGTAGAGCCCTCCGGGAGCTCTTCAAAACGAAGGACCTGCGCGGTCAAGAGCCACGTCACCTTGCCAGTTATGATCCAGCCAAGCTGCGAGTGGCCAAGGGAGTGGTGGAACCCAAGGATGCGAGAGCGCTGCTACCACCTCATGCAGCGCAGAGGCTCCGACGCTACAAGACGTGCATCGAGCTGTCCGCCGAGGAGATCGAGGCCAAGTTCGCCTCCGAGCCCTCGCCCAAGCCCTACTGGGATCCCGTGCTGCGGCGCAACAAGCGAGCCCGGCACGAGCTCTTCGAGCGCCTCCTCTCCTCGGGCATCCTGGTGCCCAGGAGGCGGCTCAAGGGCCGCATCGGGCTCTTCTTTGTCAAGAAGAAGGAGGGGGCCATCCGCCTCATCGTGGACGCCCGATACCCGAATGCCTGCCACAAGCCGCCGCCCACCACGCAGCTGGGGACCGCGCAGTCCTTCGCGGAGCTCAACCTGGCCGAGTTCGCGGATGTGGCGGCGGAGATGGCGACTCATTGTGTTCTGCCTGGTGCTGGGGGTGTCCCAGCTTTGGACTTCCACCAGAGTGGCGCTGACGTGCGCGACGGCTTCTACCAGTTCAGCATCGTCGAGGTGGCCGACTGGTTCGGTATCGACGAGTCGTTCAGCAAGGGGAGTTTTGGCATCACCAAGGTGTTCGACCCCGAGCTGGGCGTGGACGTGGAGCTGGCCACGCACGAGTCCTTCTACCTCTGCATGGGGGCCATGCCCATGGGATGGTCGTGGGCCCTCTACTTCTGCAACGAGGCGGTGGCTTCTCGCGCGGCGGCTGTGGCCGCCGATGGTTGGGGTGGCTTGCTCCGAGAGCGCGCTCCGGCCCCCCGCCTGTCCCTGGGCGGCCCGTCCACGCCGTGTACGTGGACAACCACACGGGGCTGGGGCACAGCGCCATGGACGCAGAGCAGGCCCACCAGGACTTCCGCGCGCAGTGTGCCGCCTTCGGCCTCGATCTCCACGATGAGGTCCCCTGCAGCCCCTATCTCGAGGCTCTCGGGCTGCAGTTTGACGGGCCGGGCCGCCGCCTGCGGCATCGATCGGCCCGCCTCTGGCGCTTCAAGCTGGCGACTGCAGCCCTGCTTCGCCGCCGTGTGGTGGCAGGATGGCAGCTCGAGATCTGGTTGGGCCACGCCGTACACATGTGCGGCCTCTGCCGACCCCTTCTGTCTATCCTGTCCCAGAGCTACGCCTACGTCGCGGCTCACAAGGAGAGGTCAGGACGCTTGTGGCGAGGCGTTCGGCGTGAGCTCTGGCTCATGTCCAACCTGGTCTTCACCTGCGAGGTGGAGCTGGACGCGCCGTTCAACCCGTCGGTCTACCTCGGCGACTCGTCGGGCTACGGCTACGCTCTCATGGAGACGAAGGGCACAGGCGACGAGCTGCTGGAGGACTTCAAGTGGAGGGAGCGCTGGAGGTTCAAGGCCGCGCCGCCGCTGCCTCCGCCGCCGCACCCGACCTTGGAGGCGTTGGGGGCGGCTTTCGGGGTCTGCTTTGACGGCGACGACCCCGAGCAGCTGGAGGCGTTCGGGGAGCCCCACGTCGTGGGGAGGACCGCCTGGGAGCCGCTGGGGGCTCGGACGCGCCTGGCGCTGTGGGCCGCCGAGGCAGCCCGCGCAGCCGAGGTCGGGGCCGATCCCAAGCGGTGCAGACGCCGGCGATTGGCCCGAGGGGCCGCGCAGCGGGAGGAGGTGGAAGTGTTCGAGGCCATCCCCGTGGTCGGCGCCTGCTGGGACAATAGGCGGCGCTGGCGTACGCTGGTGGAGGGCTTCTGGCACTGGAAGCAGGAGCACATCAACGTCAAGGAGGCTAGGGTCTGTCTCATGGGTCTCCGACGTAGCTTGCGGACTCGACGGGGCTGCCACCGCCGGCTCCTCACCCTGTCGGACAACCTCGTGTCCGCCGTGGTGTTCGACCGCGGCCGCTCGTCGAGCTGGGCGCTCAATGCGCTGTGCCGCCGAGCCGCGGCCTATCAGGTTGCCGGCTGTGTGGCGTGGCGGGTCCGCCACATCCGCACGGACAGGAACCACGCGGACGAGGGCTCCCGTCGTCCCCGAGCCCCGCGAGTGCAGGTACCCACGAGACTGGAGGGCGGGGCGCCCGCGGCCTCTCTGCGGAGGGGAGGCCGCCGCCTGGGCGCGCCTCGACATCATGGCGCGCCCCAGGCGGTCCAAGCCTCGCTCGAGCTCTTCTCGGGCTCAGGCCGGCTCACCGCCTCTCTCCGGCGCCTGGGGCTGCGAGTCCTGCCAGGCGCCGAGATCAGGCGCTCCGCCCGATATGATTTGTCACGTCGCACGACGCAGCGAGCTGTGCTGCGTTGGATTCGGAGTGGGAAGCTCTGGTACGTACATCTGGGGACAGCATGCTCCGCCTGGTCAGTCGCCCGCTCCACGCCTTATAACATCGAGCGGGCGCGGCGGTTGGAGGCAGTGTCTGTCGACATGGCGCTCTTCACAGCGGAGGTCATCAAAGAGTGTGACCGCTGTGGCGTACTGTGGTCGCTGGAGAATCCTGCCAGCTCGAAGTTGTTTCGCTTCGAGCCCCTTGCTGTCCTTGCCAGCCTGCCAGACGCCCGATACGTCTCGTTCGGTCTTTGTGGATTCGGAGAAAATGTTCGCAAACCGACCACCATCTTCACCAATGCCATCTGTCTGGACATCCTGGGGAGAAGATGTGATGGGTCACACCGCCATGAGCCTCTGCAGGGTGGGCTCAAGGCTGGAGCCTACTCGCCCGCCCTCTGCCGAGAGTGGGCTGCCGCGCTATGCTCGGCGGCGCCTCCTCAGGCCTTCGGCGACTCCGAGCCGCTCGCCTCCGAGTGGGACGCGGAGCTGGAGGCGCTGGTGCCGCGGTCGCATGGTGCTGCAGCGAAACTCGGGGAGGCTCACGGCGGGACTGACGCCGAGAGCCGCGGGCAGGACTTCCTCGCGCGCCACGCCGTCGAGTTCGGCGGCGCGCGGGGTCATCAAGGCGGCCCTGAGGCCGCCGCTGCGGCAGCAGGACCGTGCGGCTGTCGGCGAGGAGAAGGAGCGGCTGGCGGTGGCGCGCAGGGCGCGGGTCCCGCCAGCGGCGCGCGACGACTTCCTGCGGCTCGGGACCATCCGTGACTCCACGAAGCGGCTCTACTCCGACGCGCTCGGCAGGTTCATGGGCTGGGCGAAGTCGAGGCACTACGACCTGGGTAGCTTCAGCTCCACGGACTCGGCGATGGAGCAGTACTTCACCGACCTGTACTTCGAGGGGTCTGGTCCCGCCGAGGGCCGCAACGTCCTCTACGGCTATATTCACTTCGAGACGCACCTGGATCGGAACAAGGCCAACCTCTTCCCGAAGGCGTCGAGGGCGCTTCGAGGGTGGACCACTCGGGCTCCCCAGCGAGTCCGTGATCCCATCCCCTTCGGCGTCGTCTGCCTGATCGGCCTCTACCTCCTGGACAAAGGCCTGACCGCCGCCGCCGTGTGCCTGGCTCTGCAGTTCGACTGCTACCTGAGGCCGGACGAAGCTGTGTCGCTCCTCCTGTCCTCGGTGCTGCCGCCTGCTCCCCGGGCTGGCCGGCGCTACGCGCGGGCCTGGGCGCTGCTCCTGGGCGAGGCCGAGCACGCAGCGCCCACCAAGACTGGGGTCGTGGATGGGACAGTGGTGATCGGTGAGCTGCAGCGAGCCTGGGTGGCGGAGGCGGTAGGCCTTTGGTACCGCGTGGGCAGTGCAGCTCCCTACATGTTCGACCTGACTCTCTCCAAGTATGAGGCCCTTTTTCGTCAAGCCGCTTTTGACTTGGGCCTCGCAGATCTGGACATCTCTCCTCGCGGAGTTCGGCATGCCGGGGCTTCGCATGACATGTATATGGGTCTGGCGACTCTTGATCAGATCCAGAAGAGGGGCCAGTGGGCCCATTCGCAGAGTGTGGTGAGATATTCGAAGCACGGCAAAATCCTTCGGCAAGTACATAAGTTGTCACCTGAGCAGCAAAGGAAGACTTCGGTTGCGGAGAGAGAGTTTCCTGTCAAGCTCCTTCGGGCTCTCAGAAAATGCTGAAGCCGGCTTCGCCAGATGCTTTATGGGCAGATATGGGAGTGGAGTCTCTCGATCTCGGCCTTTGTCAACTGATTCGGTTCTGTTGAGTTTACTTTCCCGACTGGAGTGCTACAGAACTTAGCGCCCGTGCGATCGGGCGTCCGTGCGAGTAAAATGAAGTTGTGAATGTTCTGGATGGCTACCGCCACTCCGACCGACCACGCTCCTAAGTTGAGCCCTGGGTAAGCGTGTAGCCGCTAGGGATAATTTTTGTCTGTGACTTGTGTTTTCCAGAGAGGCGAGGAGCGTCCCGATTGAATGCATGCCTCGCCCGTGGCATACTTGCTCAAGCGCACCGCGTCCGTCCCCATCCTCCCACCTTTTCTTTTCCAGACGCAGTCGGTGCCGATGCGTACAGGCTTTTCTTCCTTGATTAATCTTCTCAGGGGAGTGGAGTCTCTCGATCTCGGCCTTTGTCAACTGATTCGGTTCTGTTGAGTTTACTTTCCCGACTGGAGTGCTACAGAACTTAGCGCCCGTGCGATCGGGCGTCCGTGCGAGTAAAATGAAGTTGTGAATGTTCTGGATGGCTACCGCCACTCCGACCGACCACGCTCCTAAGTTGAGCCCTGGGTAAGCGTGTAGCCGCTAGGGATAATATATATATATATATATATATATATATGATCGCCCCCCCCCTGTGATCATACATTTCGTCGTCGTCGTCGTCGTCGTCGTCCTCTTCCTCCTCCTCCTCTTCCTCCTCCTCCTCCTCCTCTTCCTCCTCCTCCTCCTCCTTCTCCTCATCTCGGGGGAGGGGAGTAGGGGGGGAGGAGTAAGCGGAGGAGACGGAGGAGGGTGTCCGCGGGGGCCGAACTGGAGACCGAAAAACAGGAAAAAAATACAAATAGGAAAACACTTGTGCTTTCACATGGAAAAATAAGAAAAACAACTCCCCCTTCGAGGGTGGGGAGGAGTCAGCAAAAATAAAAAAGGGGGAACACATTAGGAAGCGGAGGAGTAAGCGGAAGAGACGGAGGAAGGTGTTTTTTTTTTCCCCCCCCTTTTCCCCACCCTCGGAAGAGGAGTGTTTTTTGTCCCCCTTTTTTCCATGTGAAAACACAGGTTTTTCCCAATTTGTTGTTTTTCCTGTTTTTCGCTCCCCCCCCTGGGGCGGCGGGGAAAGCCGAACGGGAGACAGAAAAAGATGGAAAAAAAGGAAACATGGGAAAAACACTTGTGTTTTCACAGGGAAAAATAGGAAAACAAACTCCCCCTTCGAGGGCGGGGAGGAGGAAAAAAAGTAAAACATGAGAAACAAGGAGGAAGCGGAGGCGGAAGCGGAGGAGACGGAGGAGGGTGTTTTTTTTCCCTTCTCCCCGCCCTCGGAGGAGGAGTTTTTTTGGTTTCGTTGTGACAAGTTTTTTCCAATGTTTCATGTTTTTCCTGTTGTTCGGGACTTGGGGCGGCGGGGAAACCCCGAGGGGCCGAACGGGCGAGCGAAAAACAGGAACAAAAAGGACAACTATGAAAAAACTTGATTTTTCACATGGAAAAAAAGGAGAACACTCCGCCCCCGAGGGCGGGGAGGAGGAACAAAAAGGAAAACAAAACACCCTCCTCCGTCTCCTCCGCCTAGTCGATTCCTTGACTCAACGTTCCCGCCAGTTCTCTGCCGAATTCCGTTCCTCTTTCTCTCGTTATCTCTCCTCTCTTTTCCTCCCCCTCTCTCTCTCTTGACTCTCTCTCTCTCTCTATATCCTCCTCCCTCTCTTGTCTCTCTCTCTCTCTCTCTCTCCTCCTCTCCTCTCCCTTCCTCTCTCTCTTCTCCTCCCTCTGTATCTCTCCTCCCTCTCTTGACACTCTCTCTCTCTCTCTCTCTCTCTCCTCCTCCTCCTCTCCTCTCCTCCCATTATATGTTCCCCGCCCCGCCACAAAAGGAATCGATATGTAAACCCGCTTCGCCCGTGTCCACCTCCGCCTCCTACTCTTCCTCCTCCTCATCATCTTTCTCCTCCTACTCCACAAGGAATCCATGTGGAGGCCCCTCCACATAAGGGATCGATATGTGAAGGGCCTCCCACATAAGGAATCAATGTGTACAGGCTCCTTCACATAAGGGCCTCATCTATGAAGGCCCCTCCCACAGAAGGATTCAACATGTTGGAGGCCCCTCCACACAAGATATCAATATGGAGACCCCTTGCACATAAGGAATCAATATGCGGCGGTCCCTCCACAGACAAACTCAATATGTGGAGGCCCCTCCACATAACGAGTCTATATTCGAAGGCCCATCCACATAAGAAATCCATGTGGAGACTCCTTTGACCTAAGAAATGAATATGTGGAAGTCCTTCCACAGACGAAATCAACATGTGGAGGTCCCTTCCACATAAGGAGTCAATATGTGGAGGAATCCCCCCCCACAAGAGGAATCAATATGCGCGAGGCCCCTTGCACATAAGGAAAAATATGGGGGAGGCCCCTCCGCAAAAGGAAACAAGACCATTTTTCTCCTCCTCATCTTTCTCCTCCTACTTCTTCTGCTCCTTCTTATCCTCAACCCCTGCGCCAGAGCGGGAGGAGGAGGGGGAGGAGCAGGAGGAGGAGGAGGAAAAGGAAATCGCCCGCCGCAAAAGAACTCAATTGGTGGAGGTCCCTCCACAGACGGAATCAACATGTGGAGGCCCCTCAACTTAAGGAATCGATAATTTGAAGGCCCATCCACATAAGGAATCAATATGTGCAGACCCTTTCCAACATAAGGAATCAACAAGTGGGAGGACCCTCCACAAAAGAAATGAATATGGAGACCCCTTGCACATAGGGAATCAATATGTGGAGGTCCCTCCACAGACGGAATCAGCATGTGGAGGTCCCTTCCACATAAGGAATCAATATGTGGAGGATCCCACACAAAAGGAAACAAACTCATCTTTCTCCTCCTCATCTTTCTCCTCCTACTCCTTCTGATCCTTCTTCTCCTCAACCCCTGCGCCGGAGTGAGAGAAGGAGGGGGAGGAGGAGCAGAAGGAGGAGGAGGAAAAGGAGATCGCCCGCCACAGAACGAATCAATATGTGGAGGTCCCTCCACAGATGGAATTAATTTGTGGAGGCCCCTCCACATAAGGAATCGACATGAAAAGGCCCATCCCCATAAGGAATCCATATGTGCAGGCCCTTTTACATAAGGAATCATTATTTGAAGGCCCCTTCCACATAAGGAATGAACAAGTTGGAGGCCCCTCCACATAAGAAATCAATATGGAGATCCTTGCTCGCAAGGAATCAACATGTGGAGGTCCCTCCACACACGGAATCAACATGTGAAGATCCCGTCCACATAAGGAAGCAATATGTGGAGGATCCCCCACAAGAGGAATCAGGCCCTTTCCACATAAGGATTCAACGAGTGGGAGGCCCCTCCACACAAGATATCATTATGGAAGCCTCTTGCACATATGGAATCATTATGTGGAGGTCCCTCCACAAATGGAATCAACATGTGGAGGCCCCTACACATAAGGAATCGATGTTTGAAGGCCCTTGGAAAGACGAACATATGCAGAGAAGTCGGATCAGCGATAAACGAGTAGAAGGAACGACAATGATAATGAAGAGTAGGAGGGACAATAAAGAGTAGAAGGAACGAGGGCGGTAAGGAAGCTTGCGAAGGGGAAGAAGATGACGAGGCCCTGCAACGGAGAAGGGTGGGAGGAAGGAGGAGGGACGAGGGGTGAGGGAGGAGGGAGGATCGGGAGGATAACGAACATAATCAAAAGGAGAAGGAACGAATCATAGAAAGAAATGCAGCGGGAAGGAACGACACCGATGCGGACGGAGAGTGGGCAGCATACGAGGGGGAGGGCTGACAAAGAAAGAAGTGGGAAGTAGCGAAGACAAGGCGAATGGAGAAGATGGGAAAGGAGAGGAGGAGGAGGAGGAAGAGGAGGAAAGGGAGGAGGCACAGGGGGAGGAGGAGGATGAGGAGGAGGAGGGAGAGGGGCAGGAGGAGAGGGAGGGGAAGGAGGAGGAGGAGGGAGAAGGAGGAGGAGGAGGAGTAGAAGGAAAACAATAAAGAGAAGAATGGAGGAAGAAGGAGGAGAAAGGATGAGGGGGGATGATGGGGAGGGAGATGAGGAGAAGGAGGAGGAGGAGGACGACGACGACGACGACGACGACGAGGACGACGACGACGAAGCCGACGAGAAAAAAAACGAAATGTATGATCACAGGGGGGGGGCGAGCATATATATATATATATATATATATATATATATATGTGGGGAACCCCAGGAGCGCTGGCATTGCGCGGCGTGCAACCACGACGAGTGCTTCGCGTGCCAGGCCGAGACGCAGGACATCGTTCGGCTCCTCATCGAGAGCCCCACGTGGACGTGGCTCTCGCGGGGCGACTCGCGGCCGCGGGGGAGGCCCCCGCTGCCGGGAGATACCCGGGGCACCCCGCACGGCAGCGCCTCCGGCGCCGGCGGGCGCTTGCGCCCGCCCACCACGAGCTTGTGAGCGCCAAGCAGGAATCGCACTGGAAGCCCAGCTGGTGAGGGATGGCGCAGCCGGTCTGGGCATCCCGAGTGGGCTCCGAGTGCGGTGCGGTCTCGTCGTGTCGACCGGCGTCGGCCCCGCCGCCGGCCTTCAGCGTGGAACGCCGCTGACGGCCCAGAGTCCGGTCGATGTTGAACGATCTGACGTTTCGGACACGGCCGATGGTTCAAGGTTAAAGGGTTTTCGCGGTGTTAGAAGCCAACGCCGAAGTGAGCACGACACGAATTTGCCGTAGATCGGCCCGCAGGATCGCTCCGCATTGCTGATGCATCGACGATGCGGCTCGAGTGCGGGTCCCGATGTTCTTCACGTTGACGTCGCCGATGCATTTCCGACGTCGAGGAGGCATCGCCGATGCGTCGCCGACGTATCGTGGATGCGGCGCGATCCTCCGACCCCATATCTACTCCGAATCCATTTGGGAGGCCTCCTGTCCATTGGGGGCGGCCAAGAGGGATAATGAGTAGGGGGGCATATCATGGTCGGGGCCATGATACCTCACCGGATTTCGTGCCCCCCTCTGCTGTACCGATGATCATTCGAAGAACAAAAAAACGCGATAAACATAATGTTCGGCGCTTCGCGCGGATTTCTCGGATGTGCGCTGGGCCCCCTGGCAGCGCCTCCAGTGCCGCCCTTGGCGCGCTTCGCGCGCCAGGGATGGTGGCCCAACGCAGATCCCAGAAATCCGCGAAGAACGTCGAGAGTCCTTTTTTAAGCCTCTGCTTCTTCCTCCAGATGCACACGTCCCCTGCGGCCATCTCGGCCGCGCACGTGCCTGGGCCCATGATCTGATAGACTCAGGAGGAGAAAAACACAGACACAAGTAATCCTCGATTCCCCAGAGAATATGGGAAAATATGGGAAGGGGGGGGAGAACAGAAAACCCAGAACAGATGAGAAAATATTGGGAATCCTGCGATTTGTGTATCTGTTTGTGTGTCCAGGGCCCCCTCATAAACCCCATGTTGGCCGCCCCCTCGTGGGCGCCCCAGAGTGGGCCTCGGAGGAGATCCCTGCCTCCCTCGGCCCACGGCGTCGCTGTAAGGAGCTATATGCCGTGCCTCCCCTCCTCGCTGCGCGTCCCAGGGACCACAAGTGCAGGGGGAGGGGGGAAGGGCTTCTCAGAACCATCCCTTCCCCCTGGGTGGAGGAGGGAAGGCTTCACCCCTGGTTCTCCGAAGGCGCGGGCCTTATCTATAGGTGTAAGGCACGCGCCTACTCACCAGCAGCCTCCTTCTGAGACACTCCCCCCGTCCCCCTCCCCTTCTGTGCGCGCCGCCAGAATTTGCTGCGCCGTGTCTTCCCTCCTCTCCTGCGCCTTCTCTTCGAATCTATAGATTTTCGTTGAGAGAGTCAGTGCTCTCCTGGTCCTCTCCTGCCCTCCCCGATCCATCCCCTCTTCTCTCGCCGCCCTTCTCTTTGGGGATTGCCCCCACCTCTTCCCCGCGTTGTCTTGTGACAACCCGGCACGCCCGGCCCTCGTCAGCACGGCAGCCGATTGAGCGGGCAGGCGGCGTGCGCCCCTGCGGTTAATACGTGAGCACCGGCGGCTGCAGCGGGTGCGGTAACGCCGGGGTTCAGGGCAGCGGTATCGCTACCTGTTGCTGGACGCCCGAAATGGGTACGGAAGGAATGGGTACGATGCCCAGCAGCAGTGCCTGTGTCCATTCGTTACAGAAGGCCGCCTGCCCAACAGCGGCCGCTGATGGTTTGGGACAACACTTCTTGTTGGGCATTGTACCCAGTCTTTCCGTGCCCATTTCGGGCGTCCAAACTGTTGAATTCCCCACGGGGGTGTGGTCTGCGATCTTCGCCGTGGGGTCTTAGATCGGAGAAGAGAAGGCCGCACAGGCATGATTTTTCGGAGCTCCTCGCGGAGTTCTGAGAACTGCTGTGGAGCCCCCCCTATCGCGCTCCGCGCGCCAGGGAGGGGGGATCAGCGCAGATCCCATAAATCCGCGATGACCTCTCCGAGGAATCCGCGGTGACCGCCGAGGGCAGATGCACAGCAGGTTCTGTTTGGTGGAGTCTTCTTCCCATCAGCTGAGAAGCCGGCAGTCTTCATCGTTCTCAGAGTCTGGAAGCGAAAAACAAATTCAGGTGTAGACCCCGTCGTCCTGATCTTTCTTGAAGCCGAATCGATTCCCTGGGACTGGTTTTTCATCCCGAGTCGTTTTCTGGCGGTCCCGAGGCCTGGTGAGGACCCCCACAGGCCGACACTAGCGAAAAACCTCCCGTTGTGATGTTTGCACAGCGCGAGAGGGTCTGGGTAGTTACACGTGTGCTCCTTCCTTCCAGATCTGCGCCGCACCGCCGCCGTCACCGTCACCCGCTGGAGAGCCGCCGAACTTGGCCAGCCAGTCCCCGGCCGCTCGCGGTTCCGACGCGCAGGAGTATGCGCTATCATGATCCCCAGGCGGAGCTTTGCGGCGGAGCCTCGGAGGCCCACGTCGGCACCTAGGGCCCCCTGCGAAGCGGGAGCCCCTGTTATTAGACCTGGCGTGTGGCAGAGTGTTGTTGTCCTACCGTTCGGCGCTGGTCAGAACGTTTGCTTGTAATGTGTCCCCTTCTGACAGATGTCTGTGTGTCTCTCTCTCTCTCTCTCTCTGTGAGATCTATGTATCTCTCTTTCTCTATATCTCTCCCTCCCTGGTCACTAGAAAGTTTGGTTTGTCATGTTGTTGTCTCTCTCTCTCTCTCTACCTCGTCCTCTTTATTTCTCTGTTGATTGATGTGACTTTTAGTGCCAAGTAAAAGAAATGATAACTGTTACATGTGTCGGGCGGCGTTGGGCCGTACAGGATTGTAGTGCACGATGTTGCCACTTCCGAGGGTTAAAACTGAGGCCTCAGTTTTAACCCTCAAGCGGACCAGGTCACCGAAGGCCCCCGACCAGGAGCCCTGCCAAGGGTGGGGCCCCTTTGCGGCCTCCTGAGGTCGCCGGCCGGGGGTTCCCACTGCTTGCGTCGGTGACCTTCTGGGGCCCCCTTGCGGCCTCCTGAGGTCACCGGCCGGGGGTTCCCTCTGCTGTTGCATCGCATTGTGTTGCATAGCATCTTTGCTGCCACTGTGCTCATGCTGTTCCGTGGCCTTTGGCTCAGTGGCCAAACTGGTGCTCATTCTTATTGACCGTGTGATTTCTCAATCTCGTGCGCGCACCCCGCGCGCGGCTGCAGCGCGGGCGCCGCGCTGCTTTGGGCCCGCAGGCGGGGCCGGGCCATGGTTGACCCGTCCGCCAGCGAGCTCCGGGGGTTGAACAACCTCCAGGACATCCAGAACTGGGTCGGTCTCCAGCCCACTGTGTGGGCGGCTTTGCAGTCCGAGCTCGGGGAGGTTGCGCAGATCCGCGAGGTCGTCCTCATTCCTCCTCATGCTTGGATCGCCGGCGTGGCGGCCGCCCGGGTGCAGGATGCCACCCCTGAAGGCGGGGACCCCCCACCGCCCCGTCCTCTCCGTGGCGTCGAGTTGGGGCATGCGCGGGGGTTTCGTCGCGTCTGCCGGCTGCGCCTCGGACTACCTGCCGACGAAGAAGGCGAGGGCTCCCCTTCTGGGGGCGGCGGCGGAGTGGCGGCGCCGGGGAACCCTCTTGGGCCCCCGGAGGTCGTCAATGCGAACTCCATCAGGAAGGTCAAGATGTCGACCATCTTCGACCAGGCGGACGACTCCGAGATCGCCCCCTGGTCGGCCCAACGGACGCGAACGGTCATGGCGGCCTTCAAGGCGGCCAACGACGACGAGGACCCCGAGCCAGACGAGGACGTCACTGGGGACCAGCTGGCGGCCTTGGAGCATCGCATCCAGACGGGCGCGTGCCCCTGCCCCGACTTCGGGGTGTGGCGGCCGTACGGCCAGCGGTTCGCGCGCACCCTCAAGCTGGTCGTGCATCACATCACGCCGGCCGGCGACTACAGGCCTTACGAGGTGCCAGGGCCGCCGACGTTCGCGGAGTGGCTGCCTGCGTTCCGAGTTTTCTCGGTCGGCATGCGTGCGCTCGGGGCCGCCACGACCACGAGGCTCCAGCTGTACCAGAACAAGATCTCCAAGTTCAACAACACCTACGGCGAGGTCTGTTGGTGGTTGGTCGCGCTGGCGGATCAGCGGATGCGATCCGAGCGCATGGAGCGCATCAGGAGGCGCGCCGAGGAAGAGTACGCGGCTGCGCAGGTTTCGGGGGCGCCGAACGCCTTCGACCCGAAGATGCCGTGGGACTACTGCTTCAAGGCCGCCGCTGCCGACTCCGATTTCTGGGATGAGGAGCTGGGGCGCAAGGCGACGCTCTGGGTCACCCACCTCAGGACCAGGCAGCAGCTCATCGACGACGGCACTGGGCATCCCGGCCCTGGCGGAGGCCCCAGCGGAGGCTCGGGAGGAGGTGGAGGCGGCAGCACAGGCGGCAACGGCGGCGGCAAGCGCGGTGCGAAGCGCGCCTGGGGGAGCCAGGACCGCGCAGCCTCGGACTCCAGCCAGTTTGGAGGCAGCGGCCGCGGTCGCAGCGGAGGACGCGGCGGGGGCCGTGGCGCCGCGGGCGGCGGCAAAGGCAACGCGAAGCATCCGGGCGGCAGGTGGCGTGGGGACGAGAGAGGCAAGCCGCTTTGCTGGGCGTGGAACCACAACGCCAATGGGTGCAGCGAGGTGTGCGCCAACGGCAGGGTGCACGCCTGCGAGTGGTGCAGGTCCCCAAAGCACAGATCCATCGAGTGCCGCCAGAAGCCTGACGGGTGGTCGCCGCCCCGTTGACTATCTCCCCAGGCAGGCGAGCGCGGCCGTCCAGAGTCGAGCGAACGGCCAGCGGACCCGCTGGGGAAGATGCGGAAGACAGAACTGCTCGACGAGGGCGGCGGCGCGTCGGTGCGTCAGTTGGGCACCCGCCTTCGGCAGATTTTCGGCTGCGCGGGCGATGCCTCGGCGCCCGCCGATGCAGGCGCCGCCCCGGGATCATCCGGCGCCGCGGAGTCGGTGCAACGCCCCCCCACACACTGGAGGCAAGGAGGAGGCACCAGGAGCAGGAGCCGCTTGCAGGAGAGAGCGAGGAGCGGCAGGCGTCGCTCTCCCTCCCTGGAGAGCCGCCGGAGGAGGAAGCACGGCGGAAGAGGGAACGGCTCCCCGCCGAGCCGTGGGCGTCCTGTCCTTGCTGACGCCTCCGCGGGCGAGGCTTCCCGGGTCAGGGATCGGACAAAGACGCAGCGATGCTTCCGCCCTCGGTCCGATCAGGGAGCGCGCGGCAGGGGCGGCAGGCAACGCTCCGCCTCACCAGAGGGCGCACCCGGCCAGGGTCACCGAGAGCACAGGCACGACCCGCTGCCGCACCGGGGGCGTTCGGTTCTTGCCGGCGCCTCTGGAGGCAGCCCTCCCCGAGTGGAGAAGCATGCGGACCAGTCGCGGGGCACCCGCCCTCGAGCCCGCTCGCGCTCAGCTGCCGGTCGGGCCGCGCGGATCGACGACCTCCGCGCGAAGCACGACCGCTTGCAGGAGGTCATCCGCCAGCGGAAGGACCGGTTGCGCCTGGCCGGGGTGCGCCAGGAGGCCGAGGCGTCTGGGCGGGGTCGAGCCGCGCAAGACGCAGGCGGACGATCACCCCCAAAGGCACCAGCGGGCACGTCGCTTGCCAACCCGACGGCTGGCTCCCGGGCGGCGCGGCGGGCAGAAGAGAACGAGGCGTGCATCGGCGGGCTCCGGGCGCCGTGGAAGGCCGTCAAGAAGCTCCCGATGCTCGCGGAGACCGGTCGGAAGATCGGGGCCTTCCTCGACGAGTTCTTGGACCAGCATCCCGATTTCCTCGACCTCCCCGACGGCGGCGAGCGCGCTCAGGAGCTGGTCCGGGATCCGCGCCTTCGCGCGGCGCGGGAGGACTTGCGTCGCGCCCTCGGCGCGAAGGAGGCCAAGGCGCATAAGTGGACGCCCTGGAAGCGGGACATCGTCGAGGCGCACGTGGCTGCCTCGCAGGACCCGGAGGTGCACCTTGGAGATTGGCTTCGGGACGGCGCCCCCATCGGCGTGGCCAGACCGGTGCCGAGCTGCGGGATCTTTCCCCAACTCGGCCCGGCCGCGAAGGAGCGCACGCAGGCGCATGAGGTGCTATCGTTGCTGGAGGCGCACGGCAACTACAAGAGCTTCGAGGAGGCCAGGGTGCACGCGGAGCCCGAGATCGAGAGGATCATCAAGGAGGGTTTCGCGGTCAGGTTCAAGTCCTGGAAGCAGGTCGTCGGCACTTACGGCCCGGTTGCGGCGTCCAGGCTCGCTTGCATCGTCAAGGACCGGAAGGACGGCACGAAGAAGGCCAGGATCATCATCGACCTCCGCAGATCGGGCGTCAACAGGTGCGTGCAGGTCGACGAGAGGATTGTGCTTCCGCGCCCGAAGGACATCCTCAGCAATGCCATGCACCTTCTGCGCCACGCCGCGGAGGACGAGGAGGTCGAGGCGATGGCGTTGGATTTCAAGGACGCCTTTCACACGCTGCCAGTCCATGCAGACGAGCTCCCGTATGGCGTGGCGAAGGTCTTTGACGGCGAGTACGTGGTGTTTCGTACGGTGGTCTTCGGCGGCGAGGCGAGCCCGCTGCTCTGGGGCCGCGCGGCGGCGTACGTCATGCGCGGTGCGCAGTCGATCTTCGAGCCGGAGCATCTCCTGGGCGAGTGCTACGTCGACGACCCCCTGGTGCTCGCCGTCGGCACGGCCGAGACGCGGAGGCGGCGGTTCGCCAAGTTCCTCCTCTGGCCCATCCTTCTGGGACTGCGGCTTTCTTGGGCCAAGGTCTCGCGGGGGAGGCGGGTCGAGTGGTGCGGCGTGGAATACCGCCTCGTCTCGCGGTACGTCGTGCAGGCGGTGCTGGCGCAGGCTTTCGCGCAGGAGTTCAAGGCGGAGATCGAGCAAGCGACGAGGCGGCCGCTCATTACGCGGTCGGAGCTGCGGCGCATCGCGGGGAGGGCGTCGTGGGCGACAGGTCTGGCGCCGACGATGCGCTCTTTCATCGACAGCCTGTGGGCCACGCTGGCCGACCTCAATGCCGCGTCCAAGGGGGATTCGGGGATCCCCTGGATCGGCAGGGACCCCCAGCCAGCTGCGCAGACCTCGCGCATCATTGTCGCGTTGGCGTGGTTGCATGCCTTCCTTGAGGGCGTTGTCACGGGTGGTGATCCTGGTCGGACGGTCGACGTCAGGGAGTGGTTCCGGCAGCCGTCCATCGAGATCGTCTGCGATGCTTCCCCATGGGGCCTGGGGGCGGTCCTATGGGTCGACGGGGCCGCTCGCGCTTACCTTTTCGACGAGGTCGGCCCGGCGGACGTCGAGGAGCTGGGGGTCGAGAAGGGTTCGTGCAAGGCCCAGGCGGTCCTGGAAGCGCTGGCCATTGCGGTCGCGGCGCGGACTTGGCTTCCCAGGTGGGCGCAGCACCGGACTGGCGTTCGAGTCAAGAGCGACTCCATGGCGGCGCTCGGGGCCCTTGGTAAGATGGCCAGTCCAACGCCCGCCATCAACAAGATCGCCAGGGAGATCGCCCTCGACGTGGCGCAGAGTCGGTACGGCATCGACGTGCTGGAGCACGTGCCGGGCGAGCTCAACGACGTCGCGGACGCACTGTCGAGGGCCTTCGAGCCGGGCGGGCGCTTCGCGCTCCCCGAGGTCTTGCGG